CAAGAACAACCACAAACTTTTCTCAATAATAAAACGAGTTTGGCGTGTGGGGGAAAGAACCAACCCAACACTATGAACTCACATACCTATTAGGGATCACCCCTGACGATATCCACGACGATCCTTGACGAAAATTCTTGCTTGATCTTCTCTTTCTCCTCTTCTTCTCCTCTTCACTCTCAAACCCTTACTTTCACTCTTTTAAAATGAGACAAACTGATCAAAATCAGTCTAACACACTAATATATATCCAAAGGAATAAATTAGGGAAAAGACCAAAATGCCCTCCAAATTTCCGGACGGATTTCCTGCCAACTGCCCAACTTCCAAAGGGCATAACTCACTCATACGAACTCGGAATCGAGCAAACTCGGTGGCGTTGGAAAGATCGTTCTGCAAACTTTGCAACCATAACTGGAACTACACCTAACCCATCCTGATCTAGAAGTTATGACTGCTCAAAGTTGACCACAAACCCATTTCTTTCCCATACTTAGCCAAATTCCAGATTTTCAAAATTCAACCCAAAAATGAAAATTTCAAATTCTTAAGCCTCTCCACAGCCATTTCACATTGCCGGATGTTACAATTTAAACATCATTTCAATATATAAATCTTAAATAAGCTGAAAAATCATTAATCTTTAAATGTGAAAATATAATAATTAAATTTTTTAAAAAAAAGATTATTTTGAGGAACTTAAAAGTACTATTACTTTTTTAAATACTTGTTTTTTCTAAGAAATTTTTTTTCCCAAAATTTTGACCAATCAAACATGAAAAATTGAAAAAAAATTTGACCAACCGACGGTATTTTATTTTGCTTTTCACTATCACTTTCTATTAAAGGTCTCAGTTTGTCTGTGTTCTTTAATCCACCATTACAAAATAATTAGTCATTTTCTATATGTAAAACATGCTTATTTGCCATTTGACATAACTTGTTGTAGGTATGGTACAAAACAAATGGTTTGGTATAAAGTAGATTGTGGTATTTTATTCATGTTCCTTTTTAGCTTATGTTCACCTTATATTTAAATAATAAAATTGTAAAGTCTAATGAACATTTTTTGTTTTATCAAGTGGCAGTTAAAGACCACCGTAATGTTCTTTCTTGACTGAGTAATTCTATTCCAATTTTATCCGTCCAAATTTACATCCTATTTATTGCACTCTACAGATTTAAACTTCAATAATTAGTAATTTTAACCCAACATAGATCAAATAAGCAAAATATTCATCATATTTAACAAAGTACTCTAAAATTACACCATCAAAATACTAATGTTTTAAAGTATTATTCGGTGCTCCAAAACTACATCATCTAAATATTAGTTTCAAAGTGCAATTCACTAAAATATCCAACTGTTTTTTCTGTTGTCTCAGAGTATCAACAGCAAGAAAAGATCCTAAAATGATTTCTAAACGATACTTTGTCCGTCACCATTGTTACTTCCATTTGAAGATTAATTTATAATCGATGCTTGTTCCGGCATCATGCCTGAAAAAGGAAAAAAAGTGAAACAAGTCTCATTTGAAGATTATTCCATCTGTTTTTTCTGAAGTCTCATCTGAAGTCTCAGAGTATCAATTCTAGTGTGTTCACGACCTCACATGTAAATGTATGAAAAAATAACTGCAACTTAAAATATTTTCTCACAATCATTTACTATGTAATTGAATAGCAAAGTAAAAGATTAAAGCCTTTTAGCCAGTTAGGTGCAAATATGCATTCTTATAAAGTATTTTGTAAAGATTACATCTTTGATGATAAAGAATTTGAAATTGCACAAAATAGAGGAGCAAAATAACTATGACACAACTATCCAAAATAAGCACAGAAAAATTGACAAATGTATGCAAGAACTATATGAACTCTTAGTTGATAATTCAAGAATGCAAAGCCTAGGAACACAACTTGACACTACCAACATGAGTGAAGCTAGTAATTCAGAAGTGCAATCACAATCATTCATGCAAATGCTATAAAATTGCCTATTTTATAGTTCATTTTAGTCTTCTCCTACAAGAAAGAAAGTAGCACAAGTAATAACACCAAATCGCATTAGCCACAGTAGCAATTTCCATACATATGATCAGTGGATTTTTAAATTTAAGGGGACATTTTAGGACATATACCAAAGGATATCAACAAGTGTAATTGAATGAAGGACACTTTAAGTAATGCAACATAACTAATTATCTTGAATTTTACCTACTCTTTATAGTCATAAGAATCTCTTCGGATATGAGATTCTCTGTAACTTAGAAATCATGCAAGATATCTTTCTGTATAAATCAAGTGAGTAGGAAACTTAGAAATCACACAAGATATTAAGTTACAACAGAAAAGATAATGAGGAAAAAATAAATATTTATAACTGTCATACCTGTGGAGGAGGTGGAAATAAGTGAGCTAGCACATTTAATTGTGATTTCATACTCGCCATCTCTTGCTGCCACTCCGGAGCTGGAGTGCTAGTGCAAGATGAACTCACATTAACACATTTAAATCTCTTAGTTGTCTGTTTGAATGACATAGTTGGAACAACATCCAAGCCTAACCCTCGAACACAGCCCGGATGTTCGGGACCAAGTACCATACCAAGTGCATCATTAGGTGCAACTTCGACAATACTTTCTAGCCTTTGACTTCAAATTTCTTCATTTTTTTTCCTGTGCAAAAGAAAAACAAGCATGAACGACATGTTAAATTGGCAAAATTAGAATGGTACAATCCTTAATCAGAGCTGATATACAATGAAAAATTCCATGCTCGACAAATATTTTACGCAATGAAACAAACTCTTAACAACAAAGCATACCATCAAATTAAACTAAGCCACAATTCAAACAAGTTGCTATTTCAAATCATCATAACAAGCAGAGAAGCATAATGTAAGAGGGGGAAAACTGTAGTAATTATCTCTTGGTTGAAATATGTATTGTAGATATAGGGATCATTGTTATTCATGTTTGTGGTTACTGTAAGTCACAAGAGAGAGTACATGAGAGGATACTTTGTACAATAAAAATGGCAAAGTGTTACACCTATTTTGATAGCAGATGCAAGTAAAATGCAAGAATTATAGGAGCAAATAACAAAACAAGAATAGTACAAACAGTTAAGCAATAACCAGCACTTCTAAACTCAACTCTGTTTTCCACTACAATTATAGAAATAAGAAAACCAGCTAAACCAAGTGACATAAACAAAATCTAATAAAAAATCTTAAGCTCATTATCCTACTTAGTAATCTTCATAGTAGTCCTAACAGCAGGAAGCCAAGCAATAAGCAAAATTAAAGATTTCTTATCACTTCCCATTAAAGGCATTAACTGTGTGAGTATAACATGTATAGGAAGAATACTTACCCCAATCTCCCTAGCCGCCTCAATTCCATAAAGGTAATGTTCCATTTTTCAACTCAAATAAGAAATTCACTATAAATATAACATCAGTTCCATAAAATTAATAAAAACCAATCACATAAAAATTGTCAAGTACAGTAGCCTTCTACTTTGAATAGCCTCATTTTTAACCTAATTTACTTTAAGAGAATGATAGCACAACCACTTCTCTGTTCAACAAACAACAAAGACCAGGGAATCCTATGCCTACTAGACAAACCATCAACTCTCAATGCGGACAATTAAGTACCACATATAGATGTGCTTGACGTTTCACCATAGATAATTTGCAATGACCGGTAAAATACCATGATAAATATCTCAGCAGCTCAAACACTTAGTAGAAAAGAAAGTTACCTTGATAAGAGTTATATACCTATAAATGATTCACTGACAAAGTTGATCTCAATGCTTTCACCAGCAGATTTTTATTCCTAAACAACCCATATATAAATTTAGGTTAATAACTGAATTATACAAAAAAAATATACATATAACAAAATGTAACTCAAATCTAAAAGGAAAAAAATGCATGAACCCTAACAAATATGCATGAACCGTAACAAATCTCTACAATCTCAACTATGCATGAACCCTAACAAATAGAAAAGATAAAACAGAGATTGGAAAATAATCTAACAAAAAGGTTACCTATCACCTTAGCGCCATTTCAGATTGAACAGTACAAAAAACTTTGTTGGTGAAGAGATGGTGATGGCGAATGCTTTGCTGGAGAGCGAAAAAATTCAAATTGAAAACCTTTACAATGAAATTGAGAAGCATATCCTTGTATATATGTAGCTAATCTACATTGTACACCATGAATCGAGAGCTGATTTGGGCGATTGACTCGAGAGCTTACTGGAGCTGATTTGGGCGATTGATTCGAGAGCTTGCCAGAGCTGATTTTGGGATTGATCGAAGTGAAAGAGAGAATGGAAAACATCTAACTGATTTGAGTAAATTGATAACGGTTGTAGTATAACCGCCGCAATATTTTCGTTTTTTTTGTAGTGTTTGTTGTTGGTAATTCTAGTTGTTTTATTGAGTCTTTCTAGTTTATGTAGCTATCCAAAAGCATGAATTCACATCACTTTGGATCCTTCAGTGTTCATTTCACTACAAACAAATTATTCTTCTTGTTCAGTTTCAGTTATTTGTTATCGACAAAGAACTATAGGGCCATATAGATGGAACTGATCCTGTTCCTACTAATCCGACAAAGTTAGGTGAATGAAAGATTAAAGTTGCTTGGGTGATGTCATGGATTCTAGGGTTAATTGACCCTCTTATTGTTTTAATCTCAAGTCATACAAGACAGCTAAGGCCATTTGGGATTACTTACAAATGGTTTACAACCAAGATAATAACGCAAAACTCTTTCGGTTAGAGTATGAAATTGCTAATTACTCTCAAAGAGATCTCTCTGTTTAGAATTATTTTTTTGAATTTTAGAACTTATGGCTTGAATTTACAGATATTGTCTATGCCAAAATACATACTGAATCTCTATTTGTGATTCAGTCAGTTTATGAGCAAAGCAAGCGAAATCAATTTTTGATGAAATTACACTCTAACTTTGAGAGTGTTCACTCTAATAACTTGAAAAAATGGTGACCGTCTTCCTCTTTGGATGTTTGTTTTAGGGATTTACTTTGTGAAAAACAACGTTTTGTCACACAAAATGCTTTTAAGAAAGAAAATGTTATCGCTATTGCATTTGCTGCTCGAGGTAAAGGAAAGGACGGTGATATGACTAGAGCTCAATGCTACAATTGCAAGGAATATGATCATATTGCTAGCAATTGTGGCAATGAGTTATGTTATTATTATAAATAACAAGGACACATTATCAAAGAGTGTCTCACGCGCCCTTGAAATCGTAGGGTCAATGTCTTTTAAGTTGTGATAAATGGTTCCATTATTGATAACTCATATTTAGAAAGAGTTCATACTCCTGAAATGGTACAACAAATGACCGTGTCAGCCTTTTCAGCATTAGGATTACAAATTAATAATGTTACATCTAATTTTTTGATTGTTAGTCCAGGTGCTTCCCATCATATGACCAACTCAACAAGCATACTTAAAATGTTCGTAAGTATCGAGGTCCATCACAAATATAAATTTTCAATGGTAGTAATTTACCCCTTATCAAAGTTGGGGACATTACTCCAACTTTGAAGAATATTTTGTTTCACCAAATCTCTCCACTAGTCTTATTGGACAATTGGTAGATAGCAATTTTGATGTAATTTTTTTTGTTGTAATTGTTATCTTGTGCATGGTCGGGTATCTGGGACGATAATCGCAAATGGACATAAAGTTGGACAATTGTTTCGTATACACTTTTTCATTCCTCATGTTCTATTTTTTCTTGTACTTCTATAGCTATGAAGACTGAGGTTTGACATAAGCATCCAGGACATTCAAATTTTGTTGTGTTGTCTCATTTATCAAATTCTGATTTATTGTGAAATTAAAAATCAATTTTCATCTACCTCGATTGATTGTTCTACTTGTAAATTAGGCAAAAGCAAAACTTTTTCTTTTCCTAATTTCGATAGTCATGCTACAAAGATTTCGATGTCATTCATAGTGATGTTTGAGGCATTTCATCAATTGTTTCTCATGTTAATTTTAAATATTTTATGACATTCATAATGATTATATTCCATTTACATGGGTGTATTTTTTATCCAAATCTGAGGCATTTTTCATAATCAAGACATTTTTTACTTACATTGAGACTCAATTTTTTACGTGCATCAAATTATTAAGATCTGATTTGGTGGAGAATATGTCTTATGAATTCAAAAAATTCTTATTTGAGAAAGGAATTATCTCAGAACTCTCTTGCTCATATACGCCACTACAGATGGAGTCAACAAAACCATTTTCCTTCGGCACAATATCACTAGCCAAAACCATTTTCCTTCGACTTTATATTACACCACTAGCTGGAACCATTTCCCTTTGGCCTTATATTATATCACTTGCCGGAACCACTTCCCTTCGGCACATTATCACTAGGCGAAACCATTTTTCTTCGGTTTTATATTATATCACTAGTTGAAACCATTTTTCTTTGGCATTATATCACATCACTAGCCAAAACCATTTTTCATCGGCTTTATATCACGTCACTTGCTGGAACCATTTCCCTTCGACATAATATCACATGTCTCATCACGGTGTAAAACAATCAATGCACAAGCAATTTCACAGCATAAAGAAGAGATAACAATTCAAGCAATTCAATTATGCATTAGTGCCATCAAAGCATTTCATCAATCAATCAATTAGGGGCCACAACAAAGCAATTCACAAAGCATGATGATCAACATGTAGCCTTTTCATTAATCCCTTTTTTTATTCATTAAGATTAATCAAGTGGAACAATGAACCCATCACCTCATTCCCATTACTCCCCAACACACACAGTGATGGGAAATACACGATTCTACTAGATTACAAAGTTTAAGAGATCACTTGCCTCAATTCAATCAAATAGTCAATCCAACACTTGAGTCTTCCCCTTCCAAATAACTTCCAAAGCCACACAATCTAATTCAATCAAGTAATCACAATAAGATTCCAAAAAATAACAACACCCAATTCATACTCTTTGAAAAATGGGCCAATCAACTCAAAAATTTAATTTCAAAAATGAGGTTTGAATCCGAAAATCTTTACTTGAAAACATGCATTACCTAGGGCATCTGGAACTCATTGGTGAAAACCATTTCGAAAAAGGACTTAAAATCAGTTCACAATCACCATTTTAGTTAAGAACTCAAGATCTTGAAAAACCTTGTCATTTGCCAATCAAAACCCAAGTTCTGATGTTAAAATCCATAAATGATTAATGGAAAATGAAGTTATAGAGTCACAAAAACTTACCCAAATGATTTAGCACAACAAATCTCTTCAAAATCACCTCCAAGGATTTTACAAAGATCAAAATGGTCAAAAATGGCTAAACCCCGAAAATGGCAAGCATACACCTCCTTTGATGTCACTTAAGAGAACCCCACAAAAATTGAGGATTTCGCTTTTGCGGACCAGACTTCTCTTAAGAGACCATCGCTAGAACAAGTTTTGGTTCGCTTAAGCAAACCCAACGAAAGCCTAGCCTTCACTTTAGCAATCACACCTTTGTTAAGGTGAACGTCGCTTAAGCGGAAGGCCT